GTCAATGTAAAGATTGACTGAGCAGGGTGGGAAATTGCTGACTGATGCAGAAGCAGTCACCATTCAGGTATTCAGAAAGTGGCTGCTGCTGTCTGAATAGGATGCCAGCAGTATAGATTCCTCCATGCACACTGTTTAACCAGGATGGAGGAATCCATTGACTTTGTACAGCCTGTAGGTATGGCTAGCCTTAGCAGGACCTTTTCTTTTGAAGGTTAAAAATAGCTGACAGATGAACTGTCTTAATAAAGATCCATACATTGTATGACGAATTTGTCATAGTGCGTATGATTCTCAGTGTCTTTTGCCAGCATTTTTCATATTCAGGAAGTACTGACCAGAGTCACACACTTTTCATCCTACAGTAAGCACTGTTCATAGGTCAGATGATATATAAACCCCCCAAAAAACAAACATTTTTTGCAGCAAGTACAGAACATAGCTATTGATCCTGCCAGAAATCTTGTGCACTTGTTGTTTCCTGTGCAGTGAACTGATATCTCAATCAGTGTTATTTGCCTTTCAAGTTATCTTTTGTGAGCTACCAAATACAGCACATTCCCCTATGTTATGGAGAAGAGAAGAAAGAGACGGGTCCTGTAGTCTACATTTGAAGAGCAGTCTAGGGTGACAACACTGCTATTCATAGATACAGAACAGAGAGTAAGGCTGGCCATACATTATACAATTATCTTCCAATTTCTGCCCAATTTCCTTTAGATTTACCTTCAACTGTGTAGTGCAAGGGTCTGCCTAATTGGATACAACTGAAAGTGTTGTTTAGGTTTGTCCTCCTATTATATGGTTTTTGGTAAATCTAAACCAAAAATCTCTGGATAATTGTATAATGTATGGCCAGCCTTTAGCGTTGTCACCCTAGGACAGGAAATGTGCTACTGGCTGAACTAACAGGTGAAAATTAAGTGAAAAAGCCTATAAAAGGAAACAGATTGAACCAGCACATCTAAAGGCTAGCAAGCTGCAATATATAAAATGTTTTTTTTTCTTGTGTTTAGATACGCTTTAAAGAATACAATATCATGCCAGATTTATTGAATGACAGCACTTAACAGCCTTAGCATTGTAATATCTATACAGCATGTGCTGTTGAGTGTAGGTCCAGGAGAACCTTACCTATGTTACCTATTCTGTATTTAAAATATGAAGCAGAAGCTCAAAGGATATATTTATAGTTTGGAGGTTTTATAAAAAAAACAATAGGACCTGAAGAGCCCCCTTTTAGTGTGACTGAAGCAAATTTTGATTGACTACAATGGTCTTTAAAAAAATTTGCAATCATAATACTAATCTCCCCATCCCCTATATATTGAACAATGGCAGATATGTTTGAAGTTCAGCTTTGGTGCCAACCATGACTCCCTCCATAAATACAGTGGGTGAGTGAGCATAGCCACATAGGGACAGGAACTATAAGAACTGGTAAGCTGCTGTATAATACCATTTTTGGAGGGGTTTAGATACACTTTAAAAGAGAAGTATGGGAATGAAATAAAATGAACAGTCATACTCACCTAGATGGCTGCAGAGCCGATCCCAGCTGCATATGTTCCCCGTGGCCTCTAAGACCAAGAACTGAGCTGACTGTCAATCACCAGCTCTTTTCTTTGCCCGTCCAGCATTCACCGGAGCACCAGGCTTGGCAGGGGGTAGGGTAGGGGAGGCTGGCTCAGGCTCTTAGTGGCTTGCTGAGAGGCTGAGCCAGCTGCCGGTCCAGGTATCTGGATGGATCCTGACTTTAAAGTCGAGATCTTTCCTGAGCCTGGACCAGCAGAGTGACATCAGCCAACAGAGGTTCACAGGAGTGCAAAATGAACTGCACGCCTGTGATCCATAGGAGAAGTAGGGCCAAAAAAGCTTAGGTCCTACTTCTCTTTTAATAAATTGTTTTGAGACAAGAGTAACTAATTATAATTTAGCAACATTTTGGAAGCTCCTGGAAGAGTTAATATGTGTCAATATGGTTCCTGATTGTAGGCCTTTTGCACTACATGAATGATATTGGCATGGATAAGTATTCAGGAACACATGGGTATTTACATGAAATCTAGTTGATGCCTTAGGCATTCCATACATTATGCAATGGTTGAAGGAAAGAAAATTGCTTGGATTGCCCCATCAACCCAGTCACTATTGTTGGGGAAATCCCTCCCGCAGTACTATTGTCAGAATACAATGATCATTGTTAGTGGCTATGGCTGCCTGCAGTGATCAGGTGGAGAAAACCTGACAGGCTGCTTATACTGAAGCCAATTGATAGATTAACTGTAGTACAACCAGTCTGACCATGTGTGGATTAAAATTTGCCCGGTTCCTGCTGAACCAGCCAAATTTCGATCTGTCTGTGGCCTGCTTTATCCTGCTTTATGTAGTGTATAGATACATCAAGACTCCAGTTACCTGAAATTTGTAAAGGTGACACATTCTTATCTTTTTGTGGATAGTCACCCTGAATCACATTTAAACACAAACAGCAACACAAATGAGAACGTGCCTTCCAAAGTGTATTTTACAATCTCATCTTTTGCTGACTGGGATATTCAAGGTAATCTCTATTTATAGTACTAAGTACAAAGACAATGCCATATGTTATAATCTAACATTTGACCAGGTTTTACTCTGCTGTTTACCTTCTGGGACAGTCATGTTGAGGCAGCCGATTAATGTTCTTCAGTAAATCATACCTATACAGTAGTCATAAAACAATTGCAGTGTACAGTGAGGCATACATATCAACCCCAGCTCTAGGGAATCTTACAATCTAGCATACATAGAATACTGGAACCATAAAAATGTAATAATTGGCGCTTCTTCATAACATTTTTTCAATAAAAGCATTTTTGTGGTATTTTTGTTTAAATTCTGACCACCATTGTATAACCATGAGAAACTCTCCCCACATGTTGTGCAAAAAAACACATTAAGGAAAAAAATGTAGCTGATATTTAGCTTTCTCCAGCATGTTACTGTATAAATTTGATTACCTTAAAGCAGGGGTCTCCAAACTGTGGCCCGAGGGCCAGATATGGCCCTTTGCTACCCTTTATCTGGCCCTTGGGGCACTATTCCTCCCACTGGGACCAACAATGGGCAGCACTTCTTCCATTGAAACCAATGAAGGTGTACCATTCTTCCCACTAATACCAATGATGGGGTACTCCTCCTCCTACTGACCATCAACCCTGAGGCCATATTTATACACATTGATGCTGAGCCCAGGACATTTTCTATCCTCATTGGTCCTAATCCGGCCCTCTGAAGGACCGTATACTGGCTCTTTGTTTGAAAAATTCGGAAACCCCTGCACTAAAGGAATACTGTGTTCAGATGACAACAACCTCTTTTATATCATAACAACCATTGACTTATGAAAAAATGAATGGGTATTCCCAGACGTACTCTTGTTAAATGCTGACACTTCAATGTGCATTAGCATTCCCTGCTCTGCAGCCGCACATATACAAGAGATGTGTATACATGCAGCTGTGGGGCGGTAAATGCCTCGGCCACTTTTGATTTGCATAGCACCCCGACAGCTTCCTGCTTGGATAGTTCAGGCGGGTTTGGACCCGGATCTGAGCATGGCTGAGCTCATCACTGCTAATGAGAATGCTGCAGTGTCTAATAGATTATCCTTAAGCTTTAAAGTACGTCTATTATGTCTTAAGATCAGCTGCTACAGCATGCACTCCAGTAATTATTAGAAAATCTCACTCTGCATATGATCATCATTATCATGATAATCACAGTATACTGTAGGTGTATTCTGTATGCACTTTGCAATTTGTAGAACTACTGCTGCTTCTAACCCTTTTACTGCCAGGCCCTGCACTCCACTTTTAGTGCCAGTTCACATATATGCGGATTGGATGTGGTTTAAACCGCATCCAATCCGCATGACATGTGAAAAAACATTGCCTCCTATGGTGCCTGTTCACATCTGTCCTGTGCACTAAAGGTGCGGATTCAGTGCGGTTTCAAAAAATCATGTCCGATTTCTGAGCAGTGCCCTCAGGTTCAGGTGTGGATTACAGGCTATTAACTTCTATGGAAACCATTTCTAAACCGCATATGTGTGAACAGGATAATCCTGAGCTAATCCTACCCTGAACCTGATGTAAACCTGACATGAACCTGTGAACAACTACTGTATCAATTAGCTGTGAAACCTGAGCTTCAATCCGCACTGCACATGTGTGAATCAGCTCTTAAACTCAGGTGATCAGAATTTTTGCAATGCGTCCCTTTTTTTCTCTTACACTTTTTTGCAAAAGACCCTCCAAACCATAGATTCTGAACACATAGGACCGTTAAAAAAACAAAAAAAACAAAAAACAAAAAGGTGCTACAGATTTCTTAGGTCCTGCAATAGTTGGGCAAATGTTTATTAACCACTTGCCTACAGGGCACTTATACCCCCTTCCTGCCCAGGCCAATTTCCAGCTTTCAGTGCTGTCACACTTTAAATGACAATTGCGCGGGTCATGCAACACTGTACCTATATGAAATTTTTATCATTTTTTTGAGACAGATAGAGCTTTCTTTTGGTGGTATTAATCACCTCTGGGATTTTTATTTTTTCTTAAACAAACCAAAAACCACTGAAAATTTTGAAAAAAAAAGTTTTTTCTTAGTTTTTGTTATACAATTTTGTAAATAAGTGATTTTTCTCCTTCACTGATGTGCGCTAATGAGGCTGCAGTGATGGGCACTGATAGGCTGCACTGATGGACACTGATAGGTGGCACTGATGGGCACTGATGAGGAGGCACTAGTAGGTTGCACTGATGGGCATTGACAGGCATCACTGATGGGCACTGAAAGGCAGCACTGATACATGACACTGATACATGGCACTGATAGGCAGCACTGACTGGCACTGATAGGCGGCACTGACTGGCACTGATAGGCCGCACTGACTGGCACTGATAGGCGGCACTGATGCGCACTGATAGGCAACACTGACTGGCACTGATAGGTGGCACTGATTGGCAGCACTGATAGGTGGCACTGATTGGCATTGATAGGTGGCAATGACTGGCACTGATGGGTGACATTGAAAGGCAGCTCAGATGGGCACTGATATGTGGCATTGATGTGCACTGATATGTGGCATTGATGGGGGCACTGATGGGCACTGGCACGTGGCACTGATGAGCACTGACTGCTGGCACTGATGGACACTGACAGGTGGCACTTCTGGGGCCACACTGATCATCAGGGCACACTGATCATCAGTGCCCTGATGATCAGTGTACATGTCCCCTCCGCGGAAAGCCGATTACCGGCTCTCCTATTCTCTCGAGCTGTCAGCGTGACAGCTCGAGAGGAGAGAAATGAGATAATCGGCATTTCCATGTTTATATGTGATCAGCTGTGATTGGACACAGCTGATCACATGACTGAGCCGACATCTTCGGCTCTTTCCGTGATCCCTGAGCGCGCGCATGCGTGTTGAGAATGGAAGGACGTCATATGACGTCCTATCAGAACGAGAGAACCACCTTGCGCCCGTCATTGTACTATATGGCGGGCGGAAGGTGGTTAAAGCAATACTGTTGCTAAAAATACAATTAAATCACTACAAGCAGACATAAACACCACTTACAAAATTCCTGTCAAATCTAAATGATAAAACTGTATTGAATAAATAAATAAAGCGTTGAGCTTGGAACTGTCTGCACCATAAATCTATCCAGCCCCCTTCCCCTGTTGAACTGATGGGGCCCTGGGGCCCATACAGGAGGGCCGGCTCTACACTGTTAGTCCTGGTGGTCACTATTGTCTGTGTTCATATGTAAAAAGATCTCATAGACTTAATTTTTTTGCAATCAAAAGTTGTTTTTAAAATGTGTTTTCACATCAGGTAGCAACCCAGCATACTAGTTGCAAGGACTATCATTCCCATAGAGGGTCACAATTTATGCAGATCCTCTGTAATGTAATAACAGCCTGCATGGAGGTTAACATCAGGTTGGTGCTTCAGAATGAGGATCTAGAAAATAAGGACCCTCTTTTATATTACCTTCCCTATGTCACTAGAGTCTTCTGTACCTACAGAGCCAGAAATGAGGTGTGGGAAAGATGTACTCAGTTCAACTTACATGTTCCCCCCAGGTAAGGTGGTACCCTCTACTAAAGATAACATGATGCCAACACTGTGGACAGCTGTGACCAGTAATTCATTTTTGCAGCTGCAGAATGAAGATTGAATATAGTATTGAATGGTGGGAGAATTCCATGCTCAATACACTTCAAATTAATAGCAGATGAAGTAAATGCACAGCAAAAAAAAAAAAAGGAAGAACAATACATAAATATATCATTCTTATATATACACGCACAATATATACAATAATTGCCAAAAACCTCTTCACAGAAGTCCAAATATGTGACAAATCACCCCGTGCCGCCTTGCCCTCTTAAATAGAAAGCAATGCTTCCACTAGTGCAATTTTGTTAAACATTTATTTGAAACCTAAAGTCACATAAACCCACTCACCTAAACCCACTCACCTTCAAATAGTCCTCTCATAGCACTTGGTAACAAGGTACATCAAATACAAAATATTCTGTGTAGACAACTGGTCATATCCTAGCTGTTCAGACTGCTAGCGGTAGTGAACATGGTGATTCCAATAAGCTATTCCCAACAAGCCCAAATTATAAAAAAAAAAAAAAAATGCTCAGTGCTTTACCTAAAAAAAATCATTAAAAATGCTGTACTCATAAAACCACTTAACACCAGTGTGTCAAATAAAATATAAAACTAAATGTTGCCCCATTCCATTAAATACATTTGTCCATGTGTGTGTGCGTGCCTTCAGAAGTATAGTATTATAAACAAACAAAAAATGAACATTCACTGTATCCAATGGATATATTAAAAAAGTCACAACAACGTATGTTACTTAGTGGGTGACACCTCTATTTCAAAAGTGCCACAGAATAAACAATATATTTCACTAATAATCAATAATAAAAGATAAGTAAGCATTCTATAGTCCATTATCAATAACGGCCTATTGTTTGAAATGCATTTGAGGTGGAGCCTGTGCTGATGTCATCACACCAGCCGGAGGTGGTGGTAGTTTTGTATACATGCAATATTTTTCCTAATCGATGTGAGTAGATGTACAATACTTTTATACAAATAAACATGCAGGTTGCACTATGGAATGCTTGCTTATTTTTTGCATGGGCATAATACACATAGTGGCATGGAGGTGCTAACGGTGAGTTTGTATTGGTGTGCCCTGCGATTCCTAAGTGCCTTTAACATCTAACTGCTGTGATTCTTCCATATGGTTTCCTGAGCTGTGCATGGATGATTGCTGCTGAACATGCTGTTATAGACCACCTATGATTTGGAGTCTATCCATCTAGTAAGAGGCTGCTTAAGGTGCTGGTGTGGTTTACGGTGGTTGTTATTTTTGAACACAAGGAATAATGGCAACATTTGTAATGGTGGAGGGACCCTACCACACATTAAATATTTGAACCATTTAAGTTGAGGTTTTTCAGAACTAATGCTATTGATTTTTAGTGAAATACAGTGCATCCAGAAAGTACTCACAGTGCTTAACTTTTGCCACATTATGTTACAACCTTATTCCAAAATGGATTAAATTTATTTTTTTTCCTCAACATCCTACAAACTGCAACTACCCGGATATCGTGGCAACTGCTGTGGTGCCAACCTTTTCACACAACACTTCCGTTCAGGGGTGTCATATGCTAACATGTTGAGATGTAGCTTCTTGTCGAGGTAGAGAATGAGATTTCCCTCTCCAATCTCCTTCAGGCCCATGACTACATCTGACCTGAAGGTAGTGGCACCTGTGTGCACGTTTGCACCGGAACCGGACAGGCGAATTCTGGAACTCGCCTCCCAGATGTGTCCACAGGTACCTTCGTCCAAGATGAACAGTCCTCTTTACCTGCTAGCATCCAGAACACCATTTCCATCAGTTTCCTGTCTACTAGGTCAGTCACTGGTTCAGCTGAGCCATGATAGTTGCCCCAGGCATCTTACCATAGCCAGCTGTACCCAAGACTGACGTAACCTGCTTTTTGGCCTGGGGAGTAGGCCAGGCCCAAACTGCCTCAGCCTCCCCATTTCCAGACCTCGGGGTGTCTCTTGCTACCGGTGGTTCCCAGTGATGAACCACTGACGTGCCCCTCTGACAGTTACCATTCTCGACTGTCAGACTGGGCACAGGCAGTTTGTTCCTGACTCGTGACAGGGGCCCAAGTCGCTCTTCCCAGACCAGGCTGAACACTGCAAGGCCCCTAAAGTGGGCAACTGCACACAGTTCCACTCCACATTGTAGGTCATTCCTGACCCCTGGGGAGGAGGTGGTTGGTGCGTTCTCAACCCCAACTAGCTTTCCCATGAATTCAGGCAAGCCACATGGGGTGGTGAAGGCTGACTCGTCCTGAGCCTCCTGGGTTAGAGATGGTGGCCCATACCCTCTGCTCAGGTCCATGATGGTTAGACAGCAGGCACCTGCCGGATGCTTCATTACTTCATGGCTCCTGGGCATGGGGTGGGCCACAACCACAGGGCTGGCGCTCAGTTTTCTAAGGTTCTCATAAAGCCTGGTCATCTGATCCTGTTTAGGGATCGAGATACCGGTGATGCCCAGACTCTGCGGGACCTCTGGATTCCTGACTGCGCTATTCCCTCTGTCTCCTTGGCCCATTCAGTCTGCACCTCTTGTGAGATGAGGTGGGCCGAAGGCATGAGGGAAGGATACACCCTGCCGTCCAACTCATAAACAGCACGGTGAGCTCTCCCCGGGTTTCCCTGAACCCAGACACCATCTACCATAGGCCTTGCTAGCAGCTTCTGTACCTGAATGGAAAGGAAAGGTGATTGGAGCTGAAGGCCGAAGCTCCCTCTCTGAGGGCCGGCTATCAACTCCAATGAGTCCCCTCGCACTTTCAGCCCAGGTGTGCTGTCACTGCCCATGACATGTGCTCGTCTGTCTGGTATTTGGGGAGGGAATCTAAGCCAGAAATAGTTGGATGTGGTGTCCTCCCTGGCTTCAGATGTTCCTCATACATGGTGACAGGCCAGATCAGGTGACATTCTTTCAGTTCACAAGCCCCCTGCTGGTAGACCATTAATTTCACCATCCCTGTCAAGCCATTGTTTACCTTTCTCAGCAGGGAAGCTCACAGCATGCTGGCTGCTGAAGTCCACTTTTCAGTGCTGACTTGGCCGTGGAACTACAAGTACCAGCCGGCTGTTGTGTACCTTTCTCAGCAGGGAAGCTCACAGCTAGCTTGCTGCTGAATGCAACATGTTGGTCACCCCTCAGTGCTGCCTTGGCTGTGGGACTACAAGTACCAATCGACTGTCCTGCTGCTGGAGTCTCGCCATCTCCAGTTCGTGCCGGTGATCAGCTTCCCACTGCACCGCCTCTCTCTCAGCCTGGCGTTCCACAGCTGTGCTCTTTCAGCCGCTCTCTCAGCCTGACGGGTAAGGAGCTCCAAGTATGCCATAGGATCTGTCTCCATGATGCGTTTCAGGGCTTTCTGCATCTGAGGAGAGTCTCTGCTGGTTACAGGCATACAGATCCTCCAGTGTCAGTCTCTGTATGCCCATCCTGCGAGGCCGTCTCTGAGCCACTGGGATCGGAGGTAGCGAGAACCCCTTCATGGTCAAGTTCCCTTGAGTTCTGATCTGCTCGGATATCATGCTCCAGTTGGTCATGAATCAAATCTTCACGAGTTTTGCGACCGACGTCCATTCCTCATGAGGTACATTCCGCCCTCAAATCACTTTGCTCATTTTCCTGTATTCTGCGTCACCAGGCATAATTGCAAGCAAAGATAGAATATAAAGTAGAAAAAGGAAGGAGCTGTTGCTTTATGTCTCTCTCTCTCTATATATATATATATATATATATATATAAAAAATATGCACCGCTTGTTTCTAGGGACTGTTTCCACAAAGGTTACAATCCTTCAGTGCAAAGCTAATTCCTAACACTGCACTGAAGCTCTAACGCAAACTATCCCACTGCTGCCACCAATATGTGATGATCGCGGCATCAGACCCCAGCCCTTCTCACCAAACTCGTGACCGAAGGATTAGCCAATCTAAAACCGCGCTGTCACGTGCATAACAATGCCACGCCCAGCTGCACCCTGCACAAGGATTTTCCAGCTAATGGACCACAATCGCTGTACCTGCAGCCTGAGCGTGATTGTTACTGGGTCAGGTTAATTACGCAATTAACCCTTCACACTGCCACCACCTCCTTTTTGTACAGAGAAAGAGGAAACTCGGCAATATCAGCAATAACACTATGATGTTTGAATAATCGTTTGTATACACAATGTCACCGCAGACATTTAAAATACACACACAGTAG